CGGATGTGTTCATGGGAAACATCTTGTTAATAAATTGTTTATTTTCAAAGGTTTCTCCTCTATCAGACTGCACTAGATAATCCACAGTTTCTATGGTTATGAGTTTAAGTAACCCTACCGAAAGTAAAACTGATAGAAGCACAGGTGGAATGAAGAAGTAAAAGGGATGTCTTGCAATAATTCTTCCCAATTTATGAAATAGAAAGGACAATGAATCGCTCATACAAGTGATCTTCATTCTTCCGTTTTTATGTAGTATATATACTTTATAACAAGTGTTCAATATAGCTTTTCTTATTCTGAAGAAAAGATTTCTGTAAAGATGTAAAATTTAAATTACACAAGTGGTATTTAAAATATTTATTATATTGAATATTGTTTATAAATTCTATACACTAAATAATACCAGAAATAAAATACTGTATAATATAATTCAATAATAAAACAATAGTGTGAGCCCGCGAATTTTTGCAGGACTCTTAAAAATTCGAATATTTTAATAATTGTAAACATTTTCGGAAAAACCCTGAAAATTTGAACTAGATGGGATTTCACCGATTGTATAACAACTAACTGGAAAGTTTACAGTTAGGTGTGAAGAATGCACCCTCATCGTCCACAAAAGTCAATCACGTGACAATTTTCCCACGCGAATGATATATAAGCTCGAATCTCCGGAAGCTCGGGGGCGATCTTTCGGGAGTATACTTGTAACTGTGCGTTTTGTCTCCATACGCCGAATCGACAGAACTTTCTATTAAGGTACATAGTCGTCGAACGCGGGATTGTTATGTCTGCATTTAATTATTTTTATTGTTTTAGAGCTTGAGAACTCTCTCTCGACTAGCCGTTAGAGCTATTAGTGCGTCCTTTTAGAACAAGGGCGATATTGCTTTATGTGGGCGTTTTTCCATGTTGAGGGGGCTATTAGTAACAATTTATATATTGGGGACGAAAAACAATTTTCTGGGCTATATAGTAAAACATTATATAAAGAATAATTAGATATTTTATTCGTTATNGTTGAGGGGGCGATTAGTAACAATTTATATATTGGGGACGAAAAACAATTTTCTGGGCTATATAGTAAAACATTATATAAAGAATAATTAGATATTTTATTCGTTATATCGTACAATAATTAATTAAACAAATAACATTATAATAGTCACTAGTCTATTCAATGCAGTACGAATTTGGCGTTAGTCTTGGTCATGGGCATCAGAATTTTTAAGTGAAGGGGGCGATAATAGGTAACGGTTTTATTGAAGGGGGACGATACTACGTTGAAGAAGGCGACAATTCGTTAGAGGTTGAGAAACACTGCTTTAGAATATAGTGAACTTATGTTATCCGTATTTATATTTTAATTTATCTGACCGCATTTAGCAGTTGATATTGTTATCGCCTTATGTATCATAGCTTAGCCATTCAATAAACGTTTGTTATTTTTCCTGTCACTTATGGATGCTTGTCGACTTACCGACGCACTCTCCACTCGATTTGCCCTCCTAGCCATCCAACGACCCTGAGATCGAGTTTTACCAGCCTGTGCAGAGTAAGTAGTCATTTGGCGATTTACCAGTGATCCACTGCTAATCTCACAATAGTGTTCGAACCCTGATAACAATTTTTCTAACAGAAATGGTGAAGCAACGTCAATGTAATTTTATTCTTTTAAATTAAAGAGAATTAAATAGCTTGTTTAACTGTATGTTTTGGCAAGTTTTTTTAATATAGTAACTGAGGTTTTGTTTTATTCGATTATGGTTTGGTTTTTGTTTTATTCGATTACAGTTTGGTCTTTTCTTTTGTTGATTGTTGTCTGAAACTGTAACTGGATATATCCAGAATGAGTGAAATTTTTTCTCAAACACTTCTCGTCAGATTATATCTCAAAACTAGTTCAAAACGTACAAAAATACAAAGTTAATGTAATTCGGTTGTAATCCAAGGTTCTCCAAATCGTCTCGATCATGTGATGTTTAAGTTTTACAATTAAATTCGTGACTGTGTCTTACATTCTTAAACTAATTTCTGATCCAAAATTTTCATTGTTTCATCGAGATCAGTCATCTTATTCTCTGTAAACTTTTAACTAAAATTTCCTCAGATTTTCCAATCACTGACAACGATCGAATTTCGATTTAATTTTTGCATTGTCTAAAATATGGAGATTCTCTTAGAAGGTTTTAACTTCCATTCTCGATACTTCTCTCTTCCAGTTTTGAATTGCTAGTTCTGTCAAAAGATATGTCGAACGATATGAAGGATATGAAAAGAAGACATATCTGTCTTCTTCTCGCATCCTTCATATCATTCCGCTTGCCAAAATCTCCCTTTCCTGATGGTGTTTTGAACCGCATTTAAGGAAAGATTTCCTTTCGTTTCTATCGATCTCTTTTAGAGATGACATTCATCTTCTGTTGTATTTTCACTGGGACACGTTATTAGTAGTGATATGACACATATTAATCACAAAATTAATTTCAGATGTCTATTAAATTAAAATTACAAATAATTTTTAAA